TTAGCATTTACTCGTGTATGCCATAATTTTTAAGATAAGAAATATAAAATGCTAACTTTATTGCAAGAAGAACTAAGTAAATAAATAAAAATTTACTATTATTAATAATGATATGAGTCAGCTATATTTATTTTAAAATAATATAAAAACATAAACAAAAAATATTGTACAACAGTAATAGTAAATATAAATGATAATATTTATTTACAAAAAAAAAACTCAGAAAAGATATTTGGGTATTTGAGGTAGTACGAATATAATTTTCAATTTGGAATTGGGCCACCCAAGATTTTTGATATACCGAAGTAGATCAACAGCTGCGGTTTGAGCTGTGGAAAAACAAACCGGTTGAAAATATTTCAAAGTTTGTTCCAAATAATTTATTTAATAAAAATTTAAATAAAAATAAAAATATCTTATAGGTTAAACAAGTATAACAGTGGCTGAAGGTTAAGTAAAGGGGCCTGTTTATTTATATGCCAAAAATAATTGAAGTTGCAGTACTAAAATACTAAATACTAAATCTTGTATCTTAAATCTTCGAACTAAATGATGTTTTAATTGTCTGAGTCATTGAATGATTTTTTATGGTTTGAAAAACATATTTTAGGTTTGAAAAAGCACATTCTAATGTGCAAATGGATTTTAATATAATAAGCGGAAAAACGGTTTTACCTGATTTTATTTTAACTAAATAAATGCTTTCCGAACTGTACTTGAAGAAAAATCATAGTTTATCAGTAACGTCATGATGTCACAACAACGTCACATATGGATACTGAGTTGAGTCACTTATTAGTGAAATTTACATTTGTTTTTATCTGCTGCATTTGTAAATCACATCAAACTGTAGTTGCACATTTGTATTGAAAAGCAAAAACTGGTATTCGTAGTAGAAATTGATGGAATTCCAATTAAATTCTTATTACTGCACCTAAAAAATTTCTAAGTAAATTTTTCTAAGTTCTCACTCTGAAAAATTTTAAATAAATAATTAGAAAATACTATGTAAAAATAGATAAACACAAGTAGTACGTATCACGATTGAGAAGCTCATTCTGTGTAGAATATATGAAATGATTAAATGAAATACAGAAAATCATCAATAAACCAAAACTCATGTTGACGTCTTCAAAGATCACAATGAATCAATACAACTATTTCTTGCTTGACCCAATCCTCAATACATATTTCATAGGCTGATTGAGATATAACATTTAATTTCTTTACGGAATTCTTTTATATAGCCGCAATCTATCATTGACGAAAAATTTAAGAGTTATGACGAATGGATCAAAAGCTTGCTCATGTTAAATTGATTCCTAATCAAGAAACTTGCGCATCTAATGAGATCAACATAACACAAATTGACAGAGCACTGATATATTCTAAAAATGGTTGTCTTAGAATCGATCTGAACATGTGGCAACATTTAATATTAAAATTTTGAAGAACTTTCAATTATTGCAAATAGTCCACATTATATTATAAATATCCAAATCCATCTTAATTTCAAGGTTCCCACAATTTTACAAGCAATTATATAACATGATGATACATCTTAATTTCAAATTTGCCATAGTTTCTTTGGAAAATGTTATGATGACTAAGAAAAGTACTTATTCTGAGGCTTCTAAATCATTCTAACCTCCTTATTTGAAACTAAGATCTCACATAAACACATGCTTTAGAAAGAACTCAATCACATATCTCTGTTGATTATAAATAGGTTAATATTATTAACAGGTGTCCTCTAAAAATGCTAAACAACTTTCAAATATAAACGACATTAAACGAGCGATATTGTTAGTCGTGGGACACAATAGCTGATACCGTCGATGTTCACTTAGGAAGGATTTCAATATAAATATAAATGTTATAAGTGATTTATTTTTTATTGTTCTAATTAATAAAGATGGCAGGGAATAAAGCAGTAAAATAAATTATTGTTTATTTTATCTTGTTTATTTTTATACTTTGTTTGTTTCCCCTCTCACTGGCAGTAGGTGGAAAGCATCGAAAGTCACAGCGTGAGACTTGAACCCCCTCTTAGGAATAAAAACGCCTCTTCGGAATGAATATGAAAGATAGAGCAAGAGATTAGAGCAAGAGGCTTAATACCTAGCGGACTAAGTTTTTCTAAGCCAGAAGGCATGGGGGTAAAGCAGGGAATTGCTGGAAAGCATCGAAAGCCACATTGTGAGACTTAAACCCCCTCTTAGGAATAAAAACGCCTCTTAGGAATGAATATGAAAGATAGAGCAAGAGATTAGAGCAAGAGGCTTAATACCTAGCGGACTAAGTTTTTCTAAGCCAGAAGGCATGGAGGTGAAGTAGGAAATTTGGTATTAGTGAAGGGGGCGGGGTTATTGCGTAAGCGCAGGAGTATTAGCGGTAGACTCTGTGACCGGGGCCACGAGAGGAGGAATGATGGAGGGATCAGAGTCACACACATCGAGGTAAAGGAAAAGGTATTGGGGGGTTTGTAGAGTAAGGCCTGGATTGAGTCCGCAGGGAGTATGCTAGGGGCTGATATGTCAGGCGGGAGGTTGTGCAGCCGTGTGAGGTGCCTTCGAGCGAGTGAAAGGAATGCTGTTGTTATAGTTTTAGTTGTTGTTATATTTATCCTATGAATAAACTAACTATGAAACTTTTTTAGATATATAAAAATATATATGTTTATATAATATTCGAGTATCTGCATTGTGATAGTGATATTGTGATATTTTTTTAGTCCCTTGTCTGCTAGTTTTTTTATATTAAACTACAGTTATATTCTTATTTTGTTTGTTTTTTCAACATTTTTAAAAAATTTGATCATTTCCATGAAAACAATAAATTGTTTTTTAATACGTTTTGTATACCTCCAACAAAACCTGATGCCATCAACTGTTCGGGTTATATATTTCCATGTTCTGCTAAATAAAAATGTTTATTTTCTAATGAAGACAATATAAACTTTTTGAGCTTCACGGCTCAATAGCTGCGCTTATATTTTTAAGTGATTAGATTGATATTGTTTGTTTAAAACTCATGGATAAAATCGCATATTCATTGCTTTAGATTGTGCCTGAACAATCTGCCTGTTTGCGCAGCTATACACATTATACTCATATTAACGTACGATCATTTGTTTATACACAAATGTAAACAAAACAAAGTGCAGCGAAGATAAAAAGCTTCGCTAAGCAATCTTCTTATATATCATCATCTCTCAGAGATATAAATTATTACAAATATCAATAAAACGTAAGCAAAGCCTATTTTATGGGTCGCCATAAAGGCGCGATGGGTTATAAAATTTAAGTAAATAAATAATAAAGAAATGTTTATGTAAAAATATATCTTTTACGAACGAATTAAATACTTAAAGAAAATAATGAAATATAATATTAATTCGGCTCATAAAAATTATTATAAAATGCATTACATATTTTTTTATAGTGACAATATTATTAACACTTTAATTAAAGTAAGGAACTATGGGTGGGCAGTACTATAATTTTATAACTGAAAGTAAAACGTAAGTAAAAAAATTGCAGAATCTACAGAAACTAATATTAATTTTAGGTTTAATTACTGCAAATAAAATTTTTATCTAAACAATATGCAATAATTAATAATTGCAGACAATAATGCTCTAACAGATTACGATAATAATATTCGTCATTATTTTTATTTAATTAATAATTAAATTAAAGGATTTTAGTAAAATTATAAAATTATCAATCTTTTTGCGTTTTTACATTATCAAACATGTTCTCGTTTTTACATTCACGCAATTGTTTTCACTCATAGATGAATCAATTGATTCACCAAAAAACCCAAAAAGGGAAATTATTAATAAAATTTGATATATTTGCATGACCTTTAATTAATATAGTAAACTGGAGCCCTCGTTAGTCCAAACACCTACAATAAAACTCAAAATCAAATTGAGTTTACTATTTATCTTAACACGACGATATGAGAGAATCAATTATGCGTGGTTCATAAGTAATATTTTTATGTTTTTTAATAGTTTTGTGTAAATGAAAAAAAAAATTAATAAAAACTATGTGATGGTCGTTTTAAAGTATGCCAAACGTGTGGCATAGACACACACACGTATACATATATACATTGAATATATATTAGTCAGCACCTTTCAAAAAGAAAAATGAAGTTTACTAGACAGAAAAAATTATAGATTACAAATATATATACTGATAAAAACTATTCCCTCAAGCTTTATTACACATGCAGTTATCAGTGAAGCGTTAGTTGAGGCATGATTTTATATAGGGTTTACTGGAATAAATAGTTTAGTTTTAAAACTTTTTATGCTGAGCGCACAATTTGCTTTTGTAGAAATGTTTTTTAAACTTATACAAACGATTATTTTATGGTGTTTATATTGGATATATTTTTAATTTGGTTTATTTCTATATAATAACTTCTATAAATGATTGAGCTGCAATCGCTGATTACAGGATAGTAGTGAGAACAACTGTCTTTCAATCATGGAAAGGGCATAATAATTACATAAATAAACTTTTTTATAGAAATCTGGGTTAAATTTTAACTGGGAATGTTAAATCATAACATAGCTTATATGATTAAACTTGTAGTTGGATTTCTGCAATATATTAACCATAGTTTTTTTTTGCTAATATATATTGTAGAAATATAAATTACGTGTTATGTCAAAACTGGATTTGCAACGCTTTAAAACTTTAAAATACTACTTCATTTATATGTACTTAAACAAATATTGGTCATATATAAGTCTGCGTAGTCTAATGTTAATAATAATTATGATATTACGATTATTATTATTATAGATATTATCAAATTGTTAAACATAATAGTAATAAGAGGGCCTTAGTTGTCAATGTAACCCTAAAGCGATTTTACTTTTAACAAAGAGTGTAAATATAATATGAACACTGCATTATTCATGCTCTCGGGTAACACTGATTGTTTTGATTTCTTTAGCAAAAAATTTGCAAAGGAGACACTTCTGCTCAGTTGCGTATCGAACACACGTTGTTGATGTTGTAATTTATTTTCTCTGTTAGATATCATAAAAGCATTGTTGCTTACAAATAGCGGGTTAAATAAAGTTATCTTTCTGGTACAATTTAAAGTGTCTTCATATTGAGCAAAACATAAAACAACGGGACAACGAATGTAAGTAAAAATGAAAATATGTTTACAGATGTAAAAAACGTTTTAAAATTGTAACATAAACTAAATGCCCTTTAATGCTTTGTTATTGTTTTGCCATAGTTGCGAGTACTTTTATATGCCTTCTGACAAAATAACTATTTTACATATTTTCTCAATATTTCGTCATTTGCACTAAAAGTTTGCGTCACGTTTATATATTATAAAATTTATATTGAATTGTACTAAATAAGATCAATAAAAATTTTAAATTTAACCGTACCCTCTCTCATTCTCTAGCGATCAAAATTCTTAATACAAATTTATATTTCTTTGTTATGTTTTTCTCTTGGGTATTGCTGTTTTTGTTGTTGCACTGATAGCAGCTACATACATAAATACGTAGAACTTTCAACACAATATTTAAATGCCAACACAGTTGTTGTAAGCTTTTTGCTTTGTCTTAACAAGAGAACGTAGTAGTAAATGTTTGTAATAAAAAAGAAATGAGTGTCAATAAAAATGCTATTAGATTAAAATGTTCGCTTAGCAGTTATTATTCTGGTTTGCCCTAATGTCGGTATTATCAATATTTACATTTGTTTATTTATATTGAGCCGTCGTCGTCGTCGTCGCCGCCGTTGTCGCTCATCTCTCCATAGTGCTTGACATACTTGCATATTAAACTGACCAAAATTAAACTTTGCTCGTACACAAGCCACAAGTCACAACAAAGAGCTTTCCCTCATTTAGCTTTCGTCAAATTCGCACTGAAATTGTGCAAGTCCAAAATCATTTTTAAAACGTTTGTAGTTCCTACAAGTGCAAGACGCTCATTTGTATTGTTGCTGTTAATAAATTGTTGTATTCAAAAGTGAATTTTTAAGATTGAAATACATTAAAATGAAGAGAAAATTATTGCTTGCAAATAAAAAATTTTTGTGTAATTTAGTGATGGTAATTAATACAAATTTTGTTATTGCAATGTACAATTAAAATAAACTTTTACAAACTGAAAATTGAAAACTGCAAGTAAACAAGGTGAAGAGTAATTGTGGGAAGAGTCAGCTGATTTTAAAAATATTGAATGACTGTTTTTGTTTTGATTAAGTCATTGTTTATATTGATAAAATTTGAGAAAAATTATGAAAAACAATTTCTTTAGAAATAAAAATAATTTTTCTAGTAAATTATTTCGCTTCGTATGTATGTATATATGAATTAACCCAGATGACCTAATTAACAAGAAATAGCAACAAGTAAATTATACTAAAATGTCAGTAAAAGCTGTTTCTGTTGTGAAATTAGTTGCAATACATAACTGTAGCTGTAAACACCGAAAGCTATTCGTCATTCAATTAATGACAGTTTAAGCGGCAATGTATGACTAGTTGCTTTTAGTCGCCATTCTGTCTGCCACCAATAATATTTCAGTTTCATTTACCTTTTCGCTAAAGAAATGTCAAAGTGGAAGTGGAAGTAGAAGTGAATTTGCTTTTCGTACTTCACTACCGGTAGTATGTGTATTATTGCACTTTTTAATAATTAAATATCAAAATAAACGTAAATATATTGTTTAATAGACATTAAAACTAACGAAGTTATTGTGCATAACTGAAAAATAAAAATAAGAAATACCATTTTAAAAGCGCAGCTTCGCTTTTCTGAGCAATTGAAACCCCTGTCTTACATTGTTTACTTGCAGTTCGGCCGGCATTAGTGAGTGTTTCAATTTCAAAACGTTTATAAAAAAATTATATGTTTAAATAATAAAAATAATTATTTTCAATTCCAGTTAATTTGTTGAGTGGAAATTCACAAGAATTTATTAAGTGAAATTTACAGAAACGAATTTTAATTAAAAAAGCAAACAAATAATATTTTGTATTGCTTAAGAAATTATTTCGTAATAACATATTTGTCGTTGCGAAAAAGGAATAATTAAGTATATATACACAAATAGTAATCACATTCACAGCTATTGCTTTTATGAAAATTGAAAATTACAATATTCTCACTAAAATGTATTAAAAATAAATCAAAACTCAAACAAAGATTTCTATGTAAAAAGTACTAAAAATAATTTCGCTGACGTCACGCCACTTTAAACAGAAAAACACATAGCAGTGTCAACATTTTATAAAGAAAGAAAAATTAAACGAAAAATTAAGTAAAACTACCAAAAAAAATTTTTTTTTAAAAAAAGGTGAAATATATGTATATGAGACACTAAAAGTGTTAAACTAAAATTACGTAAAATCGTATTTGTGTTTAATTATTTGTGTTACTTTGTGAAAAGGTTCAAATTCCATAAAGAAACGCGTAATATGTACAAATTTCAACAACTGAAGCCACAAAAATCAACAACAAAACAACAACAAAAACTATCGCAACTTCAGTTTAATTGCAACGCTAAGAAGCACAAAGGCGTCTATTTAAAATTATACACATCGGCAACAATAAATGTTGTGTGCAATTTATACGCTGTCGATATAGAAGAGGAGAGAAGGCAACGATATCAGCTGCAACTACAACAACAACAACTACTATTACTACTACAAAAACAACAATTCAACTTGACTTTGATCTTCAATTTGCTATTCTATTTGCATATTTTCCAGCTAAACTTCTTCACTTTCGATAAAGGCGAACGTGCACATTTGCGTTTCGATAACGACTTTAGGAATTTTATCGATTACACGTAGCCAACGATTAACTTTACCTACAATCAAAATAAACCAATAACAGTAATAACAATTTATTACAATAACAAGTGTAAAATTACACTGAAATGAATATTAATAGTCCGATTTTTGTACCCCATTTGCCGCCACCAGCAGCAATGCATATTGTTAAGAGTTCCAGTATTAATATTTCCACATTTCCTAACAAAGAATGCAAAAATAATTTCGGCTCATCACCACCACTTTCTCATATGGGTGATTGGAATTACATGTTAAACTCTAATATGAATGCTGCAAATATGTCTCATTTAAATATGCATTTCTATCAGCAACAAATGCTCAATGTGAGAAACCAACAACTACATCATTTCAATAGGCAATACAATAATATATTCCAACAGCAACGAACTTTTTTCAATTCAAATTATCAGATCCAACAATTGGTAAATATGTCATTTATACCACAGCAACATTTTCAGCGGCAATCACTACAGAAACCTCAACAACACCACCAACAACAACAACAACAACAAGATGTTCACTACAAGCAACAACAAAATGCAAAACATAAATTGCAACAGCAACATCAACATCAGCAACAAAAAACCAAACTTGCATCAACGAAACCTTGTGAGCGAACTGCAAAATCTATCAAAAAAATGTCAAAACCATTAAAAACATCCTCAACTTTATCAACGCCAATGAAAACATCTGCAACTGCAACTGCGACTATTGCAGGAACGACAAAGACGGTATTGACGTCTGTAGAAACGGAAATGCAAACAATGAAATGTAAGTCTCTATGCGTTTTATTGTAATTGTGATGTGTCTAATTAGCTTTTGTATATGATTGAATATATACATATATGTTATTATAATGTAACACATTCATATGTTACAATATATAATTGATATATAAAATATTGAAAATATTTCATAAATATCGCAAAATTCACAATAAAATAAGGAAATTAAAGAAATATTTATAAATTAGTCATTTCCGAAACAATTCTTATCAAAAAATTCTTCCTTTTTGCATATAAATTGAAACTTTCCAGCGATATATCATATATTATAGTTTCTTCACTTCAAAATATAATATTTCGAATTCCGAATATGATAGTTATATTGATAGTACCAATTATATGGAATTTTGTAAATAATAGAAAATAATGGTTATACGTGATATTCCGCGGCTATGTTTCTGTGTTTATTCTTACAGAACTTAATTGTATATGAGGTGTGTATATGTTATTAGTATGTAAAATATGTACTCTTTAACTGATGTTTAAATAAAATACCGACTAAGCAAATACGAGTACATTGATCATTACTTCAGGAAAGGCTGCTGGACAATAACAAATTTTGTTCAGTACCTTTTACTGAAATTCACTAACACATTTTCTGATAGGATATTCAACGGGTCACCATGGTCTGTGTTATCACTTTAACAAAATGGGTCTGTCCAAAGAGAAAGCCAGGAGGAGGTCACTGTGTCGAGAATTACTCTCCCCTTCTGACATTAGGTGGTCCTCAATGGCCGACATTCTGGCTTTCATTTAGAAGGCGGAATGTCATCTGTTCGATTAGGGTCTGTTGCAGCACAAAATATCATCATGGTCGCAGTGCTCCGTTCCATTGGGAGCTGGTACCCCGGTTATTCCTATTCTTATACTACTACTTGTATTATCTGATTTCACTATATTATAACTGGTATATAAAAGTATATATAGCTCCTTCTGTGGATCCTAAGAGTGGATCTCTGGTGGATGCTATGTTTGAATTTAAAATTTATTGGTTTGTGGACCCAGATATTTACACATTTAAAGTATAAATAAAATAATGGATATAAATGATCTATTTATAAAAATGAAACCATATATTTTTATTAAATTCTTTTCGACTTATGTGACATTTTTTTTTTAATTTAATGTTTAAAATATACACTTGGTTTTGAAAAATAAGAAGCGTTTAAATAAAAAGTAATGCAAACAGAATTTATTTTTCAAACCCAACTGAGTTCATTTGAATTAAAAATATAAACAAATATTTAAATGTAATTGTTCTTAAAAAAACAATTATTTTAAATAAAAAATAAATGGTTTTTTAAACGATTTTTTTGAAACGTTTTGTTCTAAGTGAGCGTTTATTTTTGCCTTTCAGTATTTAAATAATTACTCAGTGAACAATTGAAATTGAAACATTGAAGCACGTATGATGAATGCATGTGAAAGTAATAAAATAAATAAAAGAGTAGAAAAGCGCATTCATATCAGAGTGCTTTAGCATGTTGGGGAGGTTAAAGCACGACAATGAACTTGCTAACGGAAAGGTTGTTTTCGAGGTTAGGTACCTCAACAACAAATAAAGCAAAAGAAAGAAAAATTGAATAATAAAACAAAGTATAAACATAATAAACGGCACAGTCTGTAGATATGTGAAAATGCGAGTGCACTTAAAAGATAAACAATTCAAAATATAAGAGCAAAAAATGAAGAAATGAAAAAAAACAAAACAAAATAAAAAACAAAGGGAAATTGAAATTTGCAAAAACAAAATATTTACAAGTTTAGAACATTCAAAAATCAACAACACAAGGAAAGCATAGGTTCATTGCACTGACGCCGACAGAACTTTGACTAGAGCTTTTTGTTTTTTGGTTAAAAGCTCCTATTGTTGAATAAAATATGAGTTTTTATCGACGACAATTGATAAATTTGTATAGAATAAACAACAACAATATACTGCGGCGTATTTAACGCCTTAAACCGGTATTAATAATTAACAAATAAATAAATGCTTATTAAATTTAGGTAAAAATAAATACGGATAAAAATTCATTTTAGTAAATATTTAGATGCGAATAATAATATTGAACTTTTCTGAATTATTGACTTAAGTGACTGCGCCGCAGTAAATAGGTTAAAACGCACTTAAATTAATTTCACATTTTCTTGCCTAGTAAAAACCATAAGTGGGTAAGCCGTAAAATAATTATTAAAGAAAATTTCGCTTTATATGCAAAAAAAACAATTGCGAAAAGAAATTTTTCCCAAAGCTATTAGGTTTTTTTCTCCCTTTCTAAGGTCAGGATTCGTTCCCGGTAAAAAAAAAACAAACACATTTTAAAGAAATGTGTCCATTTTATTTTTTGTTTACATTTTGCGCGCACGCATCTCTGCTTGAATGATCCCCCTACCGCTTGCTCACTGCAGCTTTTTATTTGCTTTGCTTTGCAGACAAAATATTTCACACCCTCAAAGCTTATCAAAATAGTTTTGTTTTGTCTACAATTCCATCCGTCGTGAGGTGTTTGAACTTGCAAAGTTGGGAAATTTTTTTGTTTGTTTGATGTGTGCTCCAAAGTATTGTGGAAAATAGGTCATCGAACGTTTGCGCATTTGTGCGAAATAGTTTGTTATGACTGTCTGATAAGTTCATCCATTGATAGATAAACTGTGTCTGTGTCTGGAGAAAATACATAAAAGTAAAAACATATGTTAAATGCGCTAGCTAATTAAGGAATAAGGAATAATTGGCGTTACATATTGAAAAATAAAATCAAATTTAAAATTATTAAAAGTTTATTTATATCAAATTTAAGCTCTATCAAAATATTAATCTGATTATGCGATAAAGTTCATTGAATACTAACCTTAAATTAAATGGAATTTATTTATTTTTTTTACACATTTTGCCTTGTTTGTATTTTATATAATTTTAATTGTTGGCCTACAAAATGTTGTTTACAGTTATTAAAAATTTCTCTTTTTATCTTTTCGCTTTTTTTCTATTTTCATTCTACTTATTTCTACAACAATATATAGTATGTGTATTTATAATTACATGCAAATTCATATGAAATTAGCGTAGGTCAGTTTAGATTTAGGGCAAACTCATTTCTTATCGGAATAAAGCCACGTACTATTCCAAGCAAATGGAGCAGACATATATAATTCACACATAGTATATCTGTATTATACATGCATACATATGTATATAAAGTACAGAATAAATGGTGATTAACATGTAGACTTACAAAAAATGACAAGCATATTGGTTCTTTGGACATTTAATAAAATAAAATTGTTGGAATTACATTTTGTACAAGGACAGTTTTTAGAATTTTAATAATCATTTAATTAAATCTTAATTGATGTAATCATGTTAAACGACAGCACTGAAACTCATTATTATCTTTATGTATATATATATATACAGTATTTACTTATAATTTGCAATAGTAATTATACAAGTTGAAATCAATAAAAAGTTACTTATAATCTAATAATCCCATATTATTATTGAAGCTTGCAGTTTTTCTAACAGCTTGAACGTGATTCTGATTATGATTAGAATGATTATAAAGTTTGAGTATTAAAATAAAAAATTTTAAATAATAATCTGTATATATATCACAGACATTTTCAAAGAATATTTTCCTAATCATAAACGCTTTACTAGACACAGCTAAAGATAGGAGTTTACAATTAGTTCTTACATATAAGTACCGAAGATCTTTAAAAGCACTTTATTCATATATGTATATGTATAAGCAAATTACAAAGATTTTTTTACTTTTTCAATATAAAAATGTAAACAAGTATTGCGGAGATAAATTATATTATACATAGGAATACATTGTAAATAAAAGAGGTAAAGGTAAAAAAAAATACCTTAATTTTTGCAAAATTAAAGTTTTATTATTTTATTTTTTATGACCATATACTGTTTTTATCCAATCCTTTTACACATTTAAGGTAGTACTGCATAAAAATTTATTAAGATACAATACAACCTTCATATTTAATGAGTGCACATCTTAAATTTATTAAATGATTTTAATATATGATCATACAGGCGGGCTTATCCTAAAAAATTTAAGTAATCAAATGAATCATTAAACATCAAAAAGGTGAAGTTAGCTTGGTGCATATCAACAGCTTAATATTTGGCATATATATAAAAAGGTATATCCAAATAAATATATATTTGTAATATATATACATATATTGATTTCTTTAACTCCTAGAAGGAGCATAGGGCCGCAACAAAGATCTTCCACTCGGTGCGATTGTTCGCTAGTAACTTTAACTCTCTCCAACTTTTCCGCGTGTTTAACTTTTCCATATTAATTTGCCTTCTCCAAGTGTGTGCAGGTCTGCCCCTTCTTCTGCTACCTATCGGGTTCCACTCAATCGCCATTCTTGTGGTGTCACCAGTCGGTCTAACTAAAGTGTGACCGACCCAGTCCCATTTGCGTTACAAATGATATTTAAATCTCTGATTACGTAAATACAGCATTGAAGAAGTCTCTCTCGTGAAGTCTCTCTCTTTTTATTTACTTAGATAATGCCAATCATACTCTGAAGAAAACCCTTAACCATGTGGTTGGCAATGTAACCTAAATGGTTTTATTTTTCCTGGGAAAATTTGCTTGGGTTGCTATTCTTAAGAATGGTGAAGCTTTGAATGGAGCGTTGGGTTTGTTGCACCGTTGGAGCGTTGGTTGACGAGTACCTTCAGTACTTTTTTGCGGAAAATGCTTGTTATGCATTGGAGGGAGTTGGTTTCTCATTGCTATAATGAATATTATTTTACTTGAAAGAAATTTCTGAATGCTCTTATTCCATAGAATACTTATAAAGTGCTGTTGAACCCATGAGTGCAGTGCATATTAAAAATATATCATATACTTATTTTTAAATCAATTGATTTTTCCTAAGATGTTATGTAGTGTTTATATTTATTGTTTATTATAACTTTTTTTATTTTACTTTCTTAATGAAAAA